TTATTTCACGTTGTTTGATCAGTCCCTGCAAAAATTGTCTTGACTGCAACGCTTTCAATTTGATCTATTTTGACTGATCACGATCTTTTTGGATCCGATGTTGAGCAAGACTGATCGTACACGGTTTTTGCAGTGGTTTTTTTAACCTTAATTATACATTGCGACGTAATTGACCAATCAGATCAATAACCAGAGTACAATACCATCAACTGACTTGATACAACTCACTTTGACTCTGAAGATGACTACCGCACAGGTTGTCGAAACGTCAGTCACTGTCAACTACAACAGTCCTATTCAGGACTACGTTCACCCGGACGATCAAACTCAACCTACTTTTGAAATGACTCCAGGGTTCAAACCTTTCACACTTTTACAACATTGTTCATCATTATTTACATTGGTTCAGTTTAGGGCAGCAAACCATTTGACTTTTAGGCCTAGAGGAGCTGCTACATGACCTCTCTCCCCGGAATGAAGAAAAATAATATGGCCGCGAAATACATCCTTTTAGTTTTTAAAGTTCTACTTTATTAACAAACGTTGAACATTTATTTCGGCAAACAAACCATGCAAACAGTTAAGTTGAAAAAGGATTTTACAAAAGTTTGAAAAGTAGGTCTCCTTTTCGATTTTAATTTCCAATATTGGTCAATTTACGCAACTTTTAAACACCTGGCGCAGTCTTCATTTGCTTCTGCTTTGAAAATGGAATAATAATTACTCAGGGGTAATACAGTGTAAAGATTTGTAGAGAAAAACAACAAAAACTTGCTAATTTATGGTGAAAAATGTACTTCAAAAACGAACTAAAATATTCAAAACGCTCTGATTACGTGACTGATGACGTCATGTCCCTCTTTTGGTAACGAAAAATATTATCAGGTAGAACATTATTTTCCTGCAAATTTTCTCTGCCGTGTGATAAAACGTCAACTCTCTACAGCCCTCGGCCTAGTCTCCCGATTTTTTCGCTCATGTTCATTACCCCCTTAAATTTTAAATGCCGGACGTCAACTGGTTATTATTAAATGCCCCACACATCCAAAACCTGACAAATATGCTATTTGTTTTTAACTCGTTAATAATAATAATAATAATGACTGTTTATTAAGACTCGTTGCAGCAATATACAGAATGGCTGAATTACAGAGCTATTTACAAAACATATAATACTAAAATATAATACAATAAATCCAATAAATACTAGAAAATATAATTGTACAAGCCACTAAGTATACATATGCGTGACAAACTCTTGCGTGCGCTTGGCCCTACAGGTAGGACGCGTAGAGCGGCTAATGCCAGGTCTAAGAGGTCTAAGCTTTGGGGAGCATAAAATGCAAGGGGTGATTCTCATTCCGGAGTCTATCAATATAAACCTGGCATAGATGGGCACGTGTTTCACTTAGAGTTGTTAAATTAAGGGCATTTAATGCCTCGTTGTAATTCATTAAAGGAAAAATGATGCGCATAGCCCCTTTCTGAATGCTCTCAATCTTATAAGATAGAAAATCTGGTATATTTTGCCAGACAGGGGCAGCATATTCTAGAACAGGACGAACAATGGTTGTATAGACCTTAGCCAGTGAAGCTGGAGGTGCACCACATTACTTAAGGAACCTTAAAGGGTAAAGCCTCCTGTTTCCCTTTTGCACTATAACTTCTACATGATGGTTCCATTTCAGGTCATTACTTACGTAAACGCCTAGTAATTTATATGCCATGACTCTCTCAATTGTGTTACTACCAGTTACCATAGGATTCACTCATAAAATTAATTAGCATCTCCTTGCATTTAATAGGGTTCAATTTCATTCTGTGATCTTCAGAAAAAGCATAGATATCATTTGTAACAAAATTGAGTATACTGGCACTGTTCCTAGGGATTATTTCAAGGGCTTTGACATCATCAACAAACTTTATTCTAAGGTTTCATGAGCGCAATAAATTATTTGTCATGATTGTAAACAAAATGACTCCTAACTTAGTGCCTTGTGGTATACCGCCCTTGGGAGTTTTCCACTCAGATATAATGTTCTCAATCCTCACAGCCTGATTCCTGTTACACAGAAAAGCTATTATCGCGAACTAAAACAGGGTGCATATGCATGTTCCTTAGCTCCTCAATCAGCACACTGTGGTCAATCATGTCAAAACCTTTAGAGCAGTCAGCAAAATAAAAAAGGAAAAAAAGCCTAGCAGCACAGCTCCCTGTATCCACTGCCTCATACACAGCCTGCAGCAAATAGACTAACGCGTCAGTGGTGGAATGTCCTGCACATGCAAACTGACGAGGGTGGATCTGATGAGACACTTGTGTAATCAAGCGGTCCCGTGTGAATCCCTCAAGCACCTTAGCAAGAGTGTGTGTCAGAGCGATGGGCCGCAAATCGCTCTCTATCTGCTGCGGAGGTGAGGTTTTAGGGATTGGGTTCAGCAGTGAGGCCTTCAAGGCATCAGGAAAATAACCCTCGATCAGGGATGCGTTGTAAATATCCTTGACAACTGGTGCTAGTTTTTGAGCGAACTCCTTCAGTACCCTGTTTGGGATGCAAAAAACTCTAATAGTCAACAAAAAAACCTAATAGTCACGTGAATGATGACGTCATCACCCTTAATGAGACATGGGAAGATATTTTACGGCAAATGTTATCTTGTTGTGGTCTGACATTCTTCTACGTATAAAATTGTCAACGTTATAAAGCTTTAAAAAAATTGCCTTACGGGATTCTGGGATAGTTTTTATGATAATTATAGTTTACTTTTATAATTATTATTATTATTACTATTATTTTGAAGATCCCGTCAATATGACCAGGATTTCAAGGTTTAACGGTGGTCGCACTAACGTAGCGAGTTTTTTAATTTTTCCTGCAGCTTCACCGCTGAGACACTAATATATATAAGCTTATTTTAAGTTGCCCGAAAAAACCCGCCAACTACAGAGGCTTCCTGTTTATTTAAAAGATATCATGAATATGTCGGCGAATAACCTAGAGCATCGAGACTGATTTGTTGTAAATAGAATAAATAAAAAAATCATAAAATATCACTAAAATCAGTTTACTTGTGACACCGTTAATACTTTTTTAAAGCCAGGGTAATTTTTCCTCTGCCATGGATACAGCCTTAGCTCTTAGCCTATTTGCTAAAAACATCTGGTGATAACTGACGGATAACTTACCCGTCATAGAACAAAACGTGGTAGCGGGTGAAACAAAAACATCTCCGATCGCGAATGAGTTATTTGAGTCAAAATAATCAGTTTAAAAACATTTTAAAACAGTGAACGACGTTTCGGGTGCTACGTTACGCCATTATCAAGTTGAAAAGTGAAAAAGTATAACAAAGGTGTAAAACGAATATATAAAATTTGAAACAATACATAAAATATTTGCGGGTCCAATGGCTATAATTCCCAAGATAAGAAACACAACAAGAGAAAAAAACAACAACAACAACAAAAAAATGCACGAAAGTGTCACGTAAATAGTTTGGCGTGAATGGAGTCGGCTTGCTTTCTCGATTAATATCCAAGGACATAGACGAACACATAAACAACATTTCGTCGTGTCATTTATATTTCTCCGAGAAGCTAATCTTAATCTCAAATTTTCTCTTCCTCTCAGCACTGCTACAGCAAAGATATTCAAGCCAGCTTCGAAAAAGCGTTTTGGAGATTAGATCCTCTTATTAAAGATCCCAAGAAAAAAGATCTGGCATCCGCCACCTTGCGTTCAATCGCACTTAACTACATCGCAAAGAAAGGCCCTAATCCTACTAACTGCACTTTTGAGAGCCCTCAACAACATTAAAAGAAGAGATGACATTATCATCTCCAAACCAGACAAAGGCTCTGGTGTTGTCGTAATGGACAGACACCAGTATCTTCGTCTACTAAGTGAGGCCTCGATCAACAACTCTACGAAGTTTACACACATTGATCAACACCGTTTAAAAACCAGAGGAAGACCTCCGAAACATTTCCACCCACTCCTAGAGAAAGAAAAACAGCTCATGAGAGGGTACACAAGATTCTTCCAAAAGCCACGGCCGAACAACTTAAGCCTGGTTTCCATATGATCGTCCGGATCGTCCCGTTCGCCCCAGTCGTTTCAAAATATTTCCAGACGATCCGGACGACTGAGGTGACTGGTAGTTTCCATATGATCGTCTCGACCGCCTCAAAGGCAAGAGATGCGGGGTCGTCAGCGCTGTCTCTGGGTCAGACAATAGAATTTTTGCGCGTGTTTTGCAAACAAGCCAGATAAATGGATGATTTTTATTCACAAAGCGAACCTCGTACCTTGGTATCTGCTTTTTCTCTTGATTTTGCGGGATTGAGAAGCTAGAAGAGTTCCCGAAGACATAGTATCTCTTCGAAAACTTGATGTCACGGACTTTCTCTAATTTCAAATAACTCCCATAAGCGCTGCGAACATTTGTGTATTATTTTTTCGGCTTCAGCGCCATCTGGGCCGAACTTATTCTCGATTACTGGAATAAAAGCGACGACTTGTGGGATAGCCTTCGATCGTCCCGATCGTCTCAGTCGTCTGAGAGCGTTTCCATATGATCACTTCAAAATTTACGTGATCGTCCCGATCGTCCGGATAGAACTCAACTCTATCCATCTATCCGAGGTCGTCCGGGTCGTTTGCGATCGTCTGGGTAGCGTTTTCATATGATCGTCCGGATCGTCTGAACATTTTTTGAGACGACTGGGACGATCGGGACGATCCGGACGATCATATGGAAACCAGGCTGAAAGGTTCCAGACTTGCGCACCTGTATGGCCTCCCCAAAACACACAAAGAAAGACTGTGCATGAGACCCATCTTATCAGCCTCTGGCACCTACAACTACCCTCTGGCGAAATGGCTGGATAAAAAAATTAAAGCCGTTATCAACCAACAAATATTGTATCAACGATATTTTTGGTTTTATTGACGTGATTAAAAACACTAGCATCCAGCCTAACCATATCCTTGTCTCCTATGATGTATCCGCATTATTCACCAATGTTCCTTTAAAAGAAACTATTGACATTCTCGTTGACAAAGCTTTCGAGGGTGACTGGTTCAATAAGACACATAGCAAGCAACTCGAAAAGCATCAACTGACGGATCTATTGGAAATCGCTACTATGAACCAGCTATTTCAATTCAACGGCGAATTGTATGAACAAACGGATGGTGTAGCAATGGGCTCACCGCTGGTCCCACTATTGGCTAACGTTGTCATGTGCCATATAGAAAACCAACTAGAACAAAAGAGCATGATTTCGTCTTTTTATCGAAGATATATTGATGACACTTTAGTCACAATGCCCAACACAGAATCAGCGACAGATTTCCTTCAAGTACTCAACAGTGTGCACCCTAGCTTGTCTTTCACTATGGAACTTGAACATGACGACTCTATTCCGTTCCGCGGTACAGTTTTGACAAGATGTGGTGGCACCCTAACAACAGAAGTCTACAGAAAACCAACCGACACAGGACTGCTACTCCATTTCCAAAGCCACGTCGACAGCAGATACAAGAAAGACCTAGTCAACACGGTGGTTAACCGTGGGTACCGTCTATCTTCCACCAAAGAAGGTTTTGCAAAAGAATGCAACAAGTTACGCACCATGTGTTCAAAGCTGCGTTATCCGAAACATTGGTCGATTCCACTTTAAATAAGTTCAGCCAGGAACCAGATAAAGAAATACACACCGTGCCTTCAGTAGACTCATCTGTTTACATAGTATTGCCCTTTAAAGATCAGCGATCAGCTGATCGCGTACGCAAAGATATCTATTCTCTGGGAGCCAAGATCGATGTTAACGTAAAACCCGTCTTTACAAGCAGAAAACTGTCACAAACCCTGAGTGTCAAGGAAAACAAGCCCCCGATCGTCAACACTCAATGCGTTGTATACTTATTTCAATGTGGTTTGTGCGATGCAAATAATGTCGGGTACAATGCCCGACACTTACATAAGTGAACACCATTATTCAGCCATCGGGAAACACCTTGAAACACAGCATGGCAACAACAGAACAAAGACTGACCATCTTTTCAAAGTTCTGAGGAAATGCGACAGCAAGTTTGATTGCTTAGTCTACGAGATGCTATACATAAAGGACATCAAGCCTTCTCTTAACACGCAAGCCGACTGCATTCGGGCCAAACTATTTACGTGACACTTTCGTACATTTTTTTGTTGTGTTTTTTTGTTTTTTTTTCTCTTATTGTGTTTCTTACCTTGGGAATTATACCCATTGGACCCGCAAATATTTTATGTATTGTTTCAAATTTTATATATTCGTTTTACACCTTATACTTTTTCACTTTTCAACTTGATAATGGCGTAACGTAGCTCCGAAACGTCGTTCACTTTTTTAAATGTTTTTAAATGTATTTTAAAAATCTTTCAGCGTTTAACTTTTTGATCAAATCATTTTCGAAATCTCTCCTGTTACAAAATAATCTGCTTGCGTGGAAACACCTGTTAGTATCCAGTGGTGTTCAGTTCCCAGTCTTCTTCTTGTTTTTCTTCTTCTTCTTTCTTCTTCTTCATACATGTTTCTTCAATGTACGCCAAATCTGAGTGCTTCTCATTTTAAGGTTAGAATTACTTTAACTGGACCATAAGAATGGATAGGGACCAGGAGAGGGTAATAATGGAGCAGCCGGCACAAAACCCTTCTATGACAGAACCATGCAGCCTTATGTAAAATCTATCACGGCGTCCATCACAGTCCATCTGATCCAGTAATACAAGCAGAGAATCGTATGTTTCTAATTTGAAGAACGGCTGAAAACCTCTCTAACGGTGTCTATGACGGCTCGTCTCACATCTCTTATCTTCCAGCAATACAGGAACGGGTTCAAGGTTGAATTTAAATTCACCAGGGTGGCAGAAAATGTGCAAGCAAAAGCAAGGGACGAAGTCATTGTTTTAAAAACAATTAACGCAGAAACCACCATGAAGGGAAGATAACACACAACAAGTGTTAGCAATATCCACAGACAAGTCGATACTGTCTTTCTGTACCTCGCCATATTTAGTCGCTCTTCCGGGTTTATTGACGGTCCTTGGAGAATATTCAATTGCAGTACTTGTATTTGAGCTTGCTGATGTCGAAGCCTTTTGTATATTTTTGTATAACAACAAACAGATGTTAACAAGCATACCGCAATTCCAACCAAGCTATAGTATGGAGCAATCAGAGGGTTGATGAGTACCGCTAAACCAAAAGCAATCCCCTGAGTCCAACTAAAAACCAAGAACAGTCTAACGCGCTTTAAAGTGACAATTTGTCTGTAGCGCAAACCAAGTATTAAGGCATATAACCTGTCCACACTTATAGCAGTCAAAATTGACAAAGACACTGAAGACAGAATCTGGCTTGTCGAATATGAAATCTTATAGAAGCTGACACAAATTTCCGAGCCTTTAGAATCCAGCGTTATTAAAAACACGATAAAGATGGAATCCGCGAGAAGGCCAACAAAAAGGTCGGTGAGTGCCAGAGAGCGAAACAGCGTCTTGGAAGGCGGATGAAGAGACGACGCCCGGTAAACTGCAGCTATGATAAGACTATTGCCTAAGATTGCTGTGATAGCGAAAAATACATGAGAGGCAAGGAGAAACCATAATGTATATGTTTGTCTCAAAGGTATAAGTCTGCATAGCAACTCCAGTTGATTCTGACCCTCTTCTTCAGCTTCCATGGAAAATAATACCGATTAAAGCACTGATGGAGCCGATAGATACTTTTCGAGTTTGGAAAGTACTATTTAAGATTCGTCCCTGAAATCAATCGGGCGTTTATTTAGCCAGTCTTCACGAATTTTAGGTAAAACAAATAACAAGCTTTCAAAGTCGATTGGACCTCCTCAGCGACAAAAAAGCTTTTTCTCATTAATATTTTTGCTGACAGATGGTTCATTTTTGTAGTTCTTTATTAGCATCATAAGACTAACATAAAATAATTTAAGATCTTTCAGACAAAAACAAACAAAAATAGATTGCGCTTTTATTCTAGCCTGCGTAGCTAGGGGACTGAATTGTTTGCCTGCCGACGTACATTAGAGTTTTGGTGGCGAAGAAGCGAGAAAACTACTAGAGAAAATTTCTCTTCTCCATTCTCCGCGCGGCTTTGCAACTCCTCTGTCAATGCGTACACTGGCAGACTACTTTAATTTCAGATGACCGGCCTTTCTCCTCAATTAAGAATCAGCTGCAGGTTAATCTTTTTCTTGTCTATTTACAATGTAGAACCGACAGTGTTAAGAAAAAATTAAAGGAGGAGAGACTTCACTGCAGCAGGTGCAATGGTTTAAAGGGCTCTTAATTTAAAGATCTGTATGGTAAAAAGACTGAAAGTAAAAAATATCTACCGAGAAATATCTATATAACATCAATGGTTAAGTGGACTTGCTCATATTTCGGTTTGCAGCACAAACCTTCAACGGAGGCTAACGACATGCTGTTTAAGATTTGTAACCCAGACTCCGCCGACAATGAAACGGAAGGTTTTTTTTGGCATGTCTAAGTATTGTAGTAGGAAACTTGGGGGAACAGTAATCCTCTACAATGAACTCAAACTCTTGTCTCTTTCAACTGTTTTAATGTAGATAACTTGTTGCTCAACTTTTCACAATCAAGACTAGCAGTATCTCTCTGACAAGACCTAGTTTCAGCTCCTTTTATCCTGACTGAATCTGAAGGCTGCCAATCTTACTCAAACTTAAAATAATCTTACATCAGTAAAAATTCGATTGGCTATAAGAATTATTAACATATTTTCCTTCGAGGTTGTGTCGTAATGGGAAAATCAGTTAAAAGTCCAAAATTCACTTTTGTCCAATAATTGTCCAGTCAAAACAAAACAGTCAGAGAGACACAAAAATTACAAGGAATGTTTACATGAATGAAAATCACATATGTACAATATCGTTACTCTAAAATGTACAATTTGTCAATTCGCGTACAGTGCTTAAGTTGTCGTTTAAAAGCTTCTTGTTGGAATATCGTACAATGGTAATTAGTCCCGCCTTTTTCCATATATTAACTAAAAGATTGTTTACAAATCCCTAGTCAAAAATCAATTAGCAAGATATTTACATTGCGAAAGCCTTTAAACAAAGGTATCACTGGTTACAACTTTTAGCAAGTAAATTGAATTAGGCAGTAACAAAAGCTTGTTTATCACAACGAGTTAACTAAGATAGTCTGTTGGACAAGGTTTTCTTTTGGAAGCGCACTGAAGTTTCGATCAAACCACTAAACACGCGAAAGATAGTAAAAATAGGAATGTCCAGGAAAAGACAACTTTGTAAGGTCAAGCTTCTAAAGATTTAGGAAAAACCAATTAAGCCAATTAATGTAAGATAACAAACAAATGTCGTTAAATTTACCAGAACTAATTAGATTAAGAACCTCTGTGTGGGCTCAGTTTAAACAAAAAGCATCATTTCTTAATTGAATAGCGGCACGTGTGCAAAGAGAAACCGACGTCCAAAAGAGCATCTTTACAGAGAAGGGGCAAACCTTATTAACGAAAGACAAATAGCTTTTGTAAGCCCAGTACATTCTAGTAGAACGTATTTATATAACAATTCAAAACACTCTACTTAGTGATAATAATAATTAAAATATTTTAAAATAGCAATGCTTGATGATTCATTAACGTTCCTTATTCGATAAAGGTATTTTCATTTTGGTATTAACTTATACCCAAAAATATCGTTTTACAGTATGTAGGACAATTACACGTACACTATAGCACTGGGGTGGACTTGCCCACTCAATGCAAGCGGCGCGACCTACAACCGTCTGTAATGGACAGTCAGAAAGAGTTCCTATGTAATCTGTTAAAAGTCTATGATCTCCGAATGGTACTGATAAATTTTATTTTACTGATGCTTGAGCAACCCGGTTTGGGAGGCAAACTTCAATTCGTCCATGGAACAAAGCTGAATGTATCCATTAATTCACCTGTTCCGCAGAACTGAAATTCTCGTATTTAATTTATCAATAATTTGGTTTACTACTTATTTATCAAGGACCATAATGAATATGAATAGTTTCACACAGGAAGTTTTCGACAAACGGGAAAAATTCGTGACATACCTCATCCTTTTGCCATGATAATGGCTTTTGCTTAATGACACTTCAGGTGCAGCGATTATATCGATGAGTGATTTGTTTTTCCACACGGTTTTCACGACAGCCTTAATTATTATGGCTGCTAGGAAAGTAACACAAGTTTCAAGTAGATAATGAAGTATTTGAATCATTAAAAGGATAGAAAAGTATTTCTACGATCTTATAACTTTCGACTTTTTATACATGTACTCCCTTGCTCTGTGCTGAAGACAAAAACAGGATATGCATAGTTACCATTTCCAAAAGAAATCAAGCGTGAACCACTTGAGATGGACAGCCAATCAAATACATCTTAATTATTTAAACAGCTATTAGCGCTGCTTTTAATACTTTAATACTGTCGGCAATGCAATTGCGAGGCAGTTTGTGGGCAAAGCAGAGGTTCTAAGGGTTCTCTATACCAAGCGACATGGCCGCTAAACCTGCTGACAATCGAATCAAAGCAGTAACCGGAGGACAGAGCCTTGCTGTGGATGGAGTACGATACAGCATCCCTGAGCCAGATGACCAAGATGGGAAAACATGTTGGTACTACTCTGCTCGTAACATGTTGAAAGGTTGGGGCTTAGACGACAGCAAAGGCGGAACAGACTTGAAGAAAATTAACCCTAGAGATACGAAGTTCGAAGGAAAGGAAAGGGAGCGCCTCTTCAACGAACTTTTGAAGGAAGCCGAATTCTCCTTCCAGAAAGTCGACCTAGTCGATTTTGGGCAAGTTTGCGACTTGTTAAAAGAGGGTCCCTTTATGATCTCTTTGACGAAGCATCCTAAGGCTAATCAAGCTACATTATGGGATGCGAGAGTATTGGGTACACCACTTGGCGAGTCTGCTGACAATGTTTTGACCCGTGTGCCGTACGAGTTGGAAGGAATGGTGCCACACATGATGGTAGTCGTTGGATTTGTCAAAAGGAAATACAATGAGCTGACAAAGCGAGTGCGTGAGGCCGAAGGCATTCCTGAGGGGTTAAAGAAAGTTATTTCCGAGATTGCAAACGTGGGGGGTTTTACTAACGAAATGCTTTTGCTCGACCCTAATCAACCCAAAATGCGTCCAGAATTCGGTAAACGGAATGACGTCGTATTGTGCGATTGGCACGTTTTGTCAGCGAAAATCCAAGGAGAAGGCAATATCACAAAAGCCTTTCGCGTTGTCATGAAAAAGTAATCTGACTAGTACTCAAGTGAGGCGTGAAATGATATTTAGATAGATGCAATAAACTCTGTTATACTACTACATGAGAAATTTCTCCAATTTGATTGGCTTAGAGCAGTGGTATTTCAGCTTAATTTGAAATACCTACATGTGAAAATTACAAACCTTTTGCGGGTAGTAGTATAAACAAATAATAACATGATTTGTACGTGATATTTGGCATAATTACCACTTGTGATATTTCAAAATTGTCTCAAATTTCACTCGCCTAACGGCTCGTGAAATTACGTATAACAATTTTGAAATATCACTCGTGGTATTTATGCCAAATATCACTACAAATCATGCTATTACCTATACTAATAATCTTTCTGCAAATCTAACGCGGAAAATTAGCTGGCCTGTAAGCAAGGACAATAAGGAGTTTATTAAACCGGGGTTTGTGTTAACTGAGCCTTAACACTTCANGATATTTCAAAATTGTCTCAAATTTCACTCGCCTAACGGCTCGTGAAATTACGTATAACAATTTTGAAATATCACTCGTGGTATTTATGCCAAATATCACTACAAATCATGCTATTACCTATACTAATAATCTTTCTGCAAATCTAACGCGGAAAATTAGCTGGCCTGTAAGCAAGGACAATAAGGAGTTTATTAAACCGGGGTTTGTGTTAACTGAGCCTTAACACTTCAAGGGTTTTCATGGTTGAATATAGAAAACGATGTCCCAATAAATAAATATAAGCTTACTATTTTAACTGAGCTTTTATATTCTCTCCTCATTCCCCTTGTTTTTAATAGAGATGTATTTCTAGCGCGATCTTTTTTTCTCCTCTGACCAAACCAAGAATAAACTCAGGCGTCCATTAGCTCAGATTTTGACGATCGAGGGTAAGTTTTGAAAAGAACTTTCGAAACGCACAATAGACCATAAAGATCTAAAGATATTTCTGCTAAGATCATACGCTGAGACAACAGATGTGCATGGAACCCTGACTTAAACAGTGAACTAAAATCTACCTAGTAAGTATTTAAGTAACTTTATTTAATCAGGGTATCCCATTCAGCGGCAACAAGGCTGGTATCCATAGGGGCCTGTCACTATCTCCTCCTCAGAGGTTCCCAGTGGGTATGCTAATAAAAATTGCAATAATTGAATCCCTACTCGGAACACAAAGAAGCCTCCGCAGAGGAGAGAGGGTCCTGAGAGAAATAAAGATGCCATGTACAATTTTAAAATTCCCAAGGTATCTACATGATTGAAATCAACAATAATACTATAAAAATTTAGCTAAGTCAATATAAAAAGTGTGTGCTAAGTAATAATTAAGAAATACTTAATCATCATATTTTTACAACTAATTACAGACGTGGCAAACATGTTACGTTTAGGCTTTG